CTGTGGTCCCAGCTACTTGGGAGGCGGATGCAGGAGACTCGCTTGAGCCCAGGAGTTGGAGGTTGCTATGAGCTGTAATGCCACGACACTCTACCCAGGGGGACAGCTTGAGGCTCTGTCTCAAAAAAAAAAGAAAAAAAAGAAATTAGAGGTACCCTTGGACAGAAATTCTGTCACATTTGGAGAGTCTCTTATGTCAGACCTACATGTATCCATACATTTCTCACAACCTCTATGATCTTGAAGGTTTTCTTCTGCCAAACAATTCAACAACATAGCGAGTTTGTGCAGGTGGAGTTTTCACTGGGTGCCTTTTCCCAGGTGGTGCTTTCTGGCTGGCCTCAGTTAGGGATACACTTTTGGTGCTTCTAGTTTCCATCCATTACTTCCGTAGGCTGAATCAGTGCTTTCAAATTCTTATGTCTTTATCAGGTGGGATGGGAGGGCAGAGCCATCGAGTTTTTACTAAAATTCACCGGATAAAATTCTAATAACTTTTTATTGGAAGGAACTGAACTGTACATGCATGAAATAAAATTTTGTGGGCTTTTAAAAAATGCTGTTTCAGAGCTCTATGAGTGAATTAATTTTTTAACTTTATGTATGAGATAAAATTTATATGGAGTTTAAAGCCAAACCAGTCAAACAAAACAATTACGTGGTATTCAGTGATGGTTTAGTTAAACCCATCTCTTAAAGGATGTGCTCCTGGTGTGTTTCAAATGACACTCTGGTTCCTAACATTGTTATGTCCACCCATAATAATTTTTAAAACTCAGCTGCATATTTCCGTAACAACTGTAACTATATAAATGTAGAATTTGACACTTGGTGTATCTGAGTAGAAATGACTAGTTCTTCTAATTGAATATTTACTACATGATTAGATATGAGGTATTCTGGAATCTTCTCTTTACCTTATATTGAGGATGTGTCAAGAAGTTAAGAACTCCATTCTGTTTTCTGCTCTAAAACAGAACCTGGCTTTTGAGTATTGATCAAAAGATTGCAGGGTTCCAGTTCTAAAATCCAGCATGGAAGCAAGTTGTCCAATGCACCCCCTACAACGCACACACACACAGAGAATAAAACAAAAACCAACAAGCAACACTAATATTATCTCCAGAAATATCCCAGACCTTAAATATAAAGATGGGACCATTTCCATGACCATAGAGAAGTGTAAAAGCTCTAAGCAGTTGGGAAGCGGACCAGAGTTCCATATCCACAAGGCCCATCCCCCAGTCTGCCCAGCACCTAGTGTGTAGCAAATCTCCCCCCCAACTCAGTTTCTACACCAGGAATAGAAACTACATGTACCTGTTGTCTCAGCTACTCGGGAGGCTGAGGCAGGAGGGTGTTTGAGCCCTGGAGTTTGAGTGAGGCTGCAGTGAGCTATGATGATACCACTGTACTCTAGCCCTCTAGCTGGAGTGACAGAGCAAGACTCTGTGTCAAAAAAAAAAAAAAAAGAAAGACAGAAAATCAAACAACAGAAACACCAAAAAAAAAACCTCTAAGCTTAGGAGCAAGAAGCTTAGAGAGGTCTGGCATTGGTTCCCCACACAAGGGATCAAGGCAGTGAATAAACAGTTCATATTTGACTGGAGTGGCAGAGTGAGAGTGATGCAGAGCAGTGTGGGACTGCAGATGCACCTCTGGTGACCAGAAGTCCAGGGGAGCAGTGTAGCGGCACTGGGCCTCTGCAGCCCTGTCCCCCTCATCCAAATCAGATATGCCTGGAGTCAGGAGGGATGTCCCATTGTAGAGAAAAGGTAAGCAGAAAATTCCTACCAGCCCCCATCACCTCAGATGCCTACAGTCTTGGCAGCAGGAGAATCCCCCAGTCTCCCAGTTTGGAGAGTTGTTCATGCAGCTGCAATGCCCCAGATTAGAAGCACAGGTGTACACTCCCCACCCCCACCTGTACCACCCTAACCAAGCTGCTGCAGCTGAAGACCATCCTCAAGCCAGAGCCTCCTCTGGAGGCTGATAGCCACGATATATCTCCAGTTCTAGGACTCCATCTTCATTCCACCAGGCCCACACCAATGGCTGAACACCATAACCTCAGCAGCTTGGAGCCTGGACCCAGAATTGGCTCTGGTGCTAGTCTTGCACAGCAAGGAAACTAACTTGAGCGACCCCTACCTTTAGCCAGAGGAATAGTATGGCAGTTCCAGGGCAAACTTAACCCAGAGCTGGCCAAACTGTCACACACCCTCCCCCTCATGCCTCCCAATGGAGTGGGTTACATATCCTATACCCTGGGCCTGAGTAGCCACCCTTTGGGGCCCCACCCCCTGCAGAAAGCCCTGAACTGCCAAAGGGCCCCACAATCAGAGCCTGAGTAACAACTCCATGGGCTTCCCTTGGTAAAAATGCTGCCAGGCCAGCTAAGCATCAGTGTACCCATGCCTGAGGACATAGAAAGAGCTCTGCAGATAGCCTCTAGGGACATACCCCCAGGGCACTGGAGCAGCTATGGGCCCACATCCCAAGCTGGAGATACCCTTGGGCCCCATCCCCAGCAGACACACACCTAGGCCAGCCCAGAAACTATATGACTGTAACTCAGGTTTGAAAAACACCCTTTCAACCACCCCTGGCAATGATGTTCCCAGGCCAGCAGAGCAGTTGTGAGTCTGAGAAACAAACCAAAAACAAGCTGTAGTATCCTGAGCTAAAAGATCAAAGCTCGAGGTATCATATTATCAGACCTCAAAATACCAAACAAAGCTGTAATAATCAAAACAGCATGGAACTGGCATAAACACAAACACATAGACCAGTGGAGCAGGATAGAGAATCCAGAGTTTAATTCGCATATCTACAGTCAATTTGCTTTTGGCAAAGGTGTCAAGAACTCATCAGGGAAAGGATAGTCTCTTCAATAAGTGGTGCTGGGAAAACTGGATATCCCTAAGTAGGAGAATGAAAATAGACCCCCACCTCTTACTCAGTACCAGAATATACTCAAAATGAATCAAAGACCTAAATATAAGACCCCAAAAGATAAAATTACTAGAAGAAAGCATTAGGGAAATGCTCCAAGACATTGGTCTGAAAGAAGATTTTATGAATAAGACATTATTCACAGACAACAAAGTAAACATGAACAAAGAGAATTATATCAAACTAAAATGCATTTGCACAGCAAAGGAAAGAATCAATAGAATGAAAAACCTACAGAATAGGAGAAAATATTTGCAAATTGCTTATCCAACAGGAGATCAATATCTAGAATATACAAGGAACTGAAGCATCTCAACACCCAATGTTTTGCTGAAAAAAACAAATAATCAGATTTTAAAATGGGCAAATTATCTGACCAGACATTTCTCAAAAGAAGATATACAAATGGCCCAGAAACAAATGAAACATCAAAGAAATGAAAACCACAATTTGGTGTCATCTCACCCCAATTAGAATGAATATTATCAAAAAGTCCAAAAAGTGCTGTCCAGGATGCAGAGAAAAGAGAAGTGTTCTACACTATTGGTGGGAATGCAAGCAAGTTTAGCCACTATTGAGAACAGTATGGAGGTCCCTCAAAAATCTACCAAGAGCACTACCACATGATCCAGTAATCCCACTACTGGCCATTTATCCAAAGAAAAGGAAATCATTACATCTGTACCCCATATTTATTGCAGCACTATTCATAACACCCAAGATAAGGAACTATCCTAGGTATGCAACAACCAATGAAGGGATAAAGAAAATGTGGTATTTATATCTATCTATATATCTATATCTATATCTATATATATATATATATAGAGAGAGAGAGAGAGACATATATCTATCTATATATGTATGTGTATATATGTATATCTATCTATATATGTATATATTATATATATGAATATGTATACACATACACTGTGGAATACTATACAGGCATGAAAAGGGATTGAAATATCACCTTTTGTGGCAACATGAATGGATTGGGAGGATGCTATGTTATGTGAAATAAGCCAGAAACAGTAATTTAAACACTTACTCATACATGGAAGCTAAGAAGTTGCTCTTATAAAGCAGAACAGAGAATACTAGACATTACTAGAAGGGTAGGGGGAAGAGAGGGATAGGGCTATATTTATTAAAGGCACAAAATTATAACCACATAGAAGAAATAAATTCTATGCCACTGTAGGATGAATATTAACAATAATGCACTGTGCATTTTAAAATAGCTAGGAGGAAAATATTGAATGTTCTCAACACAAAGAAATGATAAATGTTTGATACAGTGGATACATGGGTGACTACGAAAGTTTTGAGAGAGACTATGTTAGGCTCCATTATTTACTTCCAAGAAAACTCGGTCGACAGTGCCCTTTGTCATTCATCCATTAAAGTTTCAACTTGTATCAGTGTTGTTGGGAGGGCTTTACTTGCCCATGCAGATTTTAGTTTCCTGTGTTTTGTGTATCTTAAAACCTTTGTAGTGACTCACATATACTAATTACTCTGATCTGATCACCATATTTCATATATATAGAAATAGCAGCACTATATACCCCATGAATATGCATAGTTATTATCTGCTAATTAAAAAAATAAAATGCATTTTAGAAAGATTCTAGTGTTACTACAGTTTTAATAGTATTAATTGTGAGAAAAGAGGAAAATGTTTATGTACATAAAAGACTATGTAAATAACAATCAGGAGAATGGGGTTGTTTTGGTTAAATATGTGTTTATTGAGAAATGCTTCAGAAATGCAATTAATGAGTATCACTAACTTCTAAAAGGAGGATCTTCAAAGGCTTCCATTGAAGTTTAAAGTACTAACAGCCTCTGAATTTCATAATTTCCACCATGTAGAACATGGTCAGTCAGATTATGGCATAGTGCTATCCATGTGTGGTTATAAAAAAAAGTACCAAGACGCATAAGACACTAACCCAGAAAATTATTTTTGCAATGCACGTAAGTGAGTAAATATTATTTAGTTTTGATGTGTATTTTGTCATCTGTTCTTCCAGATCTACGGAAGACATTTGAGCAGGAACCCCTAGGAAAGGAAGTTTCGTTGGACAAGAAGTCTTGCTCCAGTGTCGACCTCCGGAAGGGATCCCAGTGGCTGAGGTGAATAGCAAAAATGCCTTGCATTTAGCATTTGGCACTTGGTATGCTAACAGAGGCCTAATCTGTGGCTAATGGCGCAGTGAATTAGGGTAAGGCATGATGAATGGGTGGTAATGGAGGCTAACTGCCGGCTGCTGGCAAAATAGATTGATTGGGAACTGATTAATGACCTGGGAGTCAATTAGAATGCCCCACTGGACAGAGCCACAGGCAGCATGGTTTAATTTTGTCATTGTCTTTCAAGAAATCAAAAACACTGCTTTATTTTATCTGGCACTTATCTTAGAGATGGTATGACTTAATAATGTGACATCAGTTTTATTATTCTTGATAATCTGCAAAAAAGGTGGGGGGAATGGAAGAAGAGAATGTGTGTCCGTAAGCCTGTGCATCCCTCATGTGTTTTTCCTCTTCCAGGATGTAACTGTGGACATACCTAAAAGCCATATCCACACACCATGAATAAAAACACATTTTAGGAATAAAGGGTTTCATCCTATAAGCTTTCCATAAAGCCTTTCATTTTTCCTTTTTTTTAAGCTAAAACAAAATCTACTGATTTCTCATGAAGTATTCACATTCATACCATGACTTTTCATTAGCACCAAACAGAACTGGGCCCTTTGAAAATGCCTGTCAAGGGGACAGACCTCTGTGACTCCCAGCATATTGCAAGCTCTCCTGGAGATGCTCACCATCATATTAGAGCACACTATTGAGGAAAACTAATACTGTGTCTTTCTTTAGTTAACAATCCCAAATTCTAAAAAGCATTGCCCTTTACAAGATCATTAGGAGACATCCTTCTGGCTTTCAACTATATTGCTCTAACCAGTGTCCTATAAACCCAGGCACACTTTTATTGGACAACTGGCATATGCTTGTTAGACCCCAAATTACATTAAGTCATTTGAAAGTTTTACCCTTCATTGCATAAACAGAAAGAGACATATTTCAATTGTTGCAATTGGACCTGTATATGGATCCAGTGTGTATGGATCAGCTGATTACTTATAAAATTAACCCTTTGAAATTGTGCCTATCTACAAAATTGAAAAATATTATGGAGACTTTCAACATTGCTCAAAAAGTGATTCATAACTAATAATGCACTTAAACTACTGGATTTCTCATAGTTTTTCAATCTTGTGAAGATTGGAGCAAAAGTCTATAATCAGCTCAGTTAGTTGGTCCCACGACAACAAACTCTAATATCTGATTGCTCTTTCCAAATTAATAATGACAATTAATAAATTAAAAATGTAGACAGAACCTTCATGAAATGACTCCATTTTTCTCTTTCAGCCATTCCTATCTCTATAAGTCAATGCAAAAATTTAAAGATATGTTAATGAAATTTTCTTTTTTACTTTGAAGAGAGCTGTTTTTGCCTTGTAATTGGCATCTCTTGCCAGTTGTAACAGAGCCTTTTCATGATTGTAGCTATTTTATTCAACAACACCAAACCTTACCTTCCAGCACTAAGGCATAACATTATTTAGTGAGGCTAGAAAGGAAAAAACTTTTCTCTATTTGATATTTCATTCTGATGGTAACAATACTGCATCTGTCTCAATGGCATTTCCAAAATTTTGATGCAAACCTCATCCATTAAATCACCTAAGGACTAAAACATTAGCAACATGAGTATCTGCAGCCTTGTTTTTATTGAAGATTTCTTAAAGGCAACTGATCCCCACAAAGATTTTTCTGGAGGAGATTCTAATAATTTCTTCATTTTTTTTCAGTCTTCTCAACAAAGTAGTTCACTTTGTCATGAAGTAAAGATTCATGACTGCAAACTAATTGGCTGTGAATTCTATTTGTATCATCACTGGGGAAGAGACCAATTAACACTTGGCAAGCTCAAAAATCATATACCCATTTGACATTCAAAGAACTATATTTAATGTGCATATCTTTTTCCTTTTTTGTGAAGTCAGATGAGAGATCAAACACATGCTCAAAAGGACAGACTAATAAATTCCTGTGTAGATTCTTTTCAACACTATTAAAATCACTGAGATCAGAAAGCTATTAAAGACCTTAACATGACACATTACAACTGCCATTTGCTCAAGAGGGGCAGACAAATTAAAAAAGAAAAGATGAAAGGCAACTTGGTGTGTTATAGGATTATATGATCATTTAAATTTAAATATAAATGCATCCATTATTTAATATTTCATTTATTTGTTTAAGGAATCTGAAAGCATAAAAGAGGATAAAATGAAATCTTGATCTGAAAAGAATCCCAGTAGGTAAAACCCGTGTGTTTTGTAATAATTAGTATCAATCCTTAGGATATCAGGCCAGACTGGATGTGTGCTCCTGTCATATCCAAGGCAAATGATTCTGAGAAACAGTAAGATACTAAATGTTCGGTGAACACATGGGGGATTAAAATAAACAATTCATGGAGGAAGTAGACAGGTTTATTCTTTCAGAATATCAGGAAGCAGTGATTTTTCTCCCATATTATCTAAATCGGTGAATTTTTTAAGAACTTTGGTCTTGGTTATGATAGCACCACTTTTGGTGAAAATCATGGCACAGGCATTTCTAAGGTAAATATAAGTTCTCCTTTATTTGAACATTCTATATTCTCCACTGCAGACTATGGACTGCTTCCTAATTTCTTACAGAACTCCTGGTTTAAATCCAAGCATCACCATTGTAACTCTTTGAATTTGGGCAAAGTATCCATCCATAATGGTGTCATGTAGTTTCAATGAGATGATATATGAGAATCAGTCATAGCATGTCAAAAGCACTCAAGAAATATCAGCTATTAGTAATGTTACCATTATATTAATAATTTATTAATCCATGGAAGACTGATTTCAACTTCTTGAATTCAAAATTCTCACTGAGCACCTTGCCCCTCCACTGGGCACTGTGAGGTGGAGTTTCTGTTCTGTGAAGAATCACCAAGATGCTCTCCTGCCTTCTCCAGTCATTTTCTTTGGCTGAATTCCACAAACCCTACAAATTAAGATAATAGTGTGAGATTTAAAAGCATTAAAATGCCTTCCAACAACAGTATCAAAAGACGTGTTAAATAAATTGTGGTATATGTACACCATGGAATATTATGCAGCCATAAAAAAGATGGAGACTACCTCTTTCATGTTTACATGGATGGAGCTGGAACATATTCTTCTTAACAAAGTATTTCAAGAGTGGAAGAAAAAGTATCCAATGTACTCAGCCCTACTATGAAACATATAGCTTTCATATAGTTATGAAAGCTATAACCCAACTATAGCCTAAGAAGAAAGGGAAAGAGGAGAGGGAGGGGAGGGGAGAGGAGAGGATGGGTGGAGGGCGGGTGATTGGAGGGACCATACCTACAGTGCATTTTGCAAGAGTACATGTTAAGTTTACTAAGTGTAGGATATAGATGTCTTAACACAATTTAAAAAAAAAAAAAAGACATGTTAATGTAACTATCTATAGCAAGTTCTGACACTGCTCTGATCTTTACCATTACTGTTCACTTAGTCATCATGGTTTCAAGACAAGGGAGCAGCACTCATACTATCTCCCAGAAAGGAATTTTGGTCTAAGGCTTCTATCAGAGCCCAAGGAAAGAGAGTGACAAAATCTCAGAAGAGGGAGAGGCCAAGCCAGGGTTCCTTGTGCTCCATCTCTTCAGATGGCAACAGTTTTTATGAAGAGTTTCTTCCAATACTCATGGTTAGGGAAAACTGTGTGTGAGGACAAAGGATGAAGCAAAAGGATTTCAAAGGTCTAGTCCGTGCTAATCCCTCCTCTGGTCTCCCTAAGACCTTTCTTCTTATCTAGGGATGTTATTCAAGGTATTAAGTAACTGTGTGGCTTCCGTAGCACAAGAAGAGAGTCTTGCAGGCCTTCTATTGTTTGGGGTATAACCCCATAGAGCAGTCCTCACATTCCCAAGAACCAGCCAGTAGATAGGGGTGACAGGAACTCAGTTATCTAGCAACATATACAGAATGCTTCCAGTGTTTAACACCTGGAATGGGGGAACTGTGTGTGTGACTGCCTATATGACTTCTTCTATATACCACAATTTTATACAGTCTGACTGCTACTTGTGTTGAAATTTATCTGTTTTATTTTATGCCTATCTGACTAGATTGTGATGAAATAAAGGATAAAAATATTTTTGTTCATATTTTATCTCTAATGCCTGCAGATTCTAGGTCACTTAGTAGATTCTCAAGTATATTTAACCAAATGAAAGAAAGAAGTCTTGCTGAATGTGACACAGAGGCTTCGCTGCAAGAAAGAGAACTCTCTAGAATATTTTTACCTCTAAAGATGCAACCCTATTGGGAGCACTCACTGTGGAGTGAGAGCCTCCATCAGTCTGAACCCTAAAAGCAGGGTTCCCAATCATTCAGACCAGAAATAAAAAAAAAAAAAAGGTCACTGGGAGATATTTTAATTGACCCTAAGGGAGCTGTTAATAATATTAAAATTTTAAAGTAAACCAGGTGAAAGAAGGAAAATATAACCCTGGGAATACTGTAAAATATTGTTTAGTATTTTTATAACACTTTTTCTAGGATTTAAACCAAAAATATAAATCTTTTCTTATAGTTATGGTGATGCATTTGCCTCACTTTCAACAGATAAACCTTCTCCCTCATCTCCCTGAAGAAGCAAGAAAATTAATAAGCCCATGGAATCGGTACTAGGTTGTTCCAGTGGCATATTAGCAGCATTCTATGAAATTAATCCCACTTTGCCCATTTTAGTTTATGGCTAGAAAATGTTGCTGTCACATGCTGAACCAGAAATCTACTCAGAGACACTTTATTTCATCAAATTATCTCTTGTGGAGAGTCTGGGGATCAAAACATCGGTGGATACAAGATTTGCTAGCATGGCAGAAGGAGCAAAACTGAATTTTTCACTAAAACCTGTGATTTGTTTCACCTTTAACAAGGGGATAATTGCTTCTCTAATTATAATTGAGCTATTTCTCATAGGAGTTTAATTGGAGGACCAGG